GAACCAGCTTTCTCATCTTTTAGATGCACATGTACTCCCATTAGTAATCCTCCCCAGGAGACCTTAAATGTTGTCACCTAAAGGTGGCGCAGCATGACCCAGGATCTCCAAAATTGGTGTATAAAATATGCTAATACCAACTTGCAATAAACAATTTTTCATTTTTTGTTTGTGGCTCTTGGAGTTCTAATGCTGGATACTACCATTTGTATATTTAGCATTACAGGTTTCATAGCTTCAGCAAATAAACAGATGTTCATGCAAATTCCTTTTGTAACTAATTTCTAAAATTTTTTTAGTGTTTTCACTGAGGCTTCATTCACTTTTTTTTTTTTTTGTAAGGTTCAATTTGGAAAATGTGTAAATCTTGGCTGAGAACATTGATAGATCCCAAAGTGTTTAAAATGCACAAGTCAAGTTGCTTGCTGTTTTAAAGGATACAGAGCTCAATTCTTTTATCAAAGCCTAATTCAGCATTCAGTTTTATTGATTCACAATGTGCGGTGCAGATTGAAGCTCCGGTTTCACAGCTAATTGACACAGTAATTGTTGTTCAGTCGGTTCAGGATAGGATTAGGTCAGGATCTTATCCTGTTCACACATATGTGGTTTAGAAACTGTTCCCATAGAAGTCAATAGCCCTGTAATTCCCCACCTGAACTGGACCGCAGTGCTCAAAACTCGTACATGACTCTTTTTCAAACCGCACTGCCAGTGCACCGGACATAGCACTGGTGAATAGGCGCCATAGGAAGCAATGTTATTTCACGGCATGCGGATTGAATGCGGTTCAAACCGCATTCAATCTGCATATATGTGAACCGCCACAAAGTCAACCAAATACATTCCAGTGGCATCAACACAAGATGTTCAATGTCTTACTGTTTTTTTCTTTCTTTCTTTCCCCATAGCTTGAGTGGAAAATTATGTTCCCTGCCAGCAGGTGCAGAGTGGGACCATTGGTCTCTGCGTGGAATCAGTGGTCTCTACAGATGCCTAACATGTCCCTTATTGAGTAGACTTAAAGCCCTGCAATCCGTAAAGCTCATGATCCCCACTGATTGATGAGCTCTGGATGTGTCTCAGCTTGGGGCATGACTATTTCAGCAATGGTCCTACTCTGAAGGCATACTAACAGGGAACGTGCTGTGGCAGTTCTTTACATCTCTTTTGAGACATTCGCAGTAATAATGCAGGTACAACCCTTGTACCTTGTCGGTTTTTACCCTTGTGGTGTCTAGTATCCGGGAATTTTAAATCCTTTCTTACAGGATTGGTTTAAATACATTTGAAAGTTACTGAACTTGATTGACACTCAAGTATATCAAGGTTGGATTATAAATATTGTTTTTATATAGTGTAAATATGATCTTCAGGTTATATGACTAAACAATTGTTTTTTCCTTTCAGACGGAGAGGCTAATTTGAGCAATTTGCAGCCAGATTCAAAACCCAGGAGCTGGCGGATTCTTTTCAGAGAAAGTTTGAAGAATGCCAGCAGAATCTACAGTTATCTGAAAAACCTAAATGAGATAGGTTATTAACCATTGTTAATAAGTTTCTAGATCAAATGGAAAATGTCCTCTATCTGTTTCTAACCTCATGTAATAATGCAGATTGGTCTCCCTTCCTTACAGCTTCATGGTTTTACTGTTGCTGTTTGCAGGTCTAATGTTTTTATAGAGCTGCCATTCAGATACCTTACACTACTGGATCCATTGTATTAAGATGCACATCAATCTGTCAAGTGTTCTAAGCAGTGGAGTGATGGATCCACTTTCACATGGAAGGAGCGGCCTCTTTATTTCAGCATGCATCAGTCAGAAACAGATAAAGAATTTCCTATTAAACTGGGAGTTCTAATCAGTACAGTATCTGTGATTGACTATATAGCTTGTCCATGTTTGAGTGGGCCTTCATTTTCTTTCACTTATTCTCTACATTTCTGGCAGTTCTTTCTCCAGGATTACCTTCTAGTTCTGTGTTTCTATCTAAACAGAATAAAATATGTGACCATACATAGATCTACATTTGTGTAAAGAAATTCTTTGTGCACTTGTAAGAACATACTTATTTTTTAAATGTTAGTATTGTAAATAAAGTTGAGTGGAAAGTGCTTTGGTATTTATTAATCTTCACATATTGATTAGCCACCTATGCTGAAAATTGTGAGCATTTCCAGTACCTAAACTGAAAATAGGATTTTTGTACTAAAATCTGTTATTTTAATACAGCACATAATGCATAGTATTCATAGACTATTGGTTGTGGGATTGTACCTTCAGGTGAATGGACACTGGTAAAGCTCTTGAGGAACATGCTACCCCCCCCCCTTCCAAGGGCACCTTTCCTCCTTCACTTCTTGAGTCCTCTCTTTTTTTTTTTTTTTTTTTTTTCTTTTTTTTTTCTTTTTGCTAGTGTCCAAAGGTGATGGACTACTTCTCCCTTGCAGAGAAATTGCACATAGGTTTCTTATTTTCTTTTCAGAATCAACTCTTTAATCACCTCCTCACTGTTTTCCATATACTGCATTAGAAAACCATGCATTCAGATTGGTGCTCACCTTGGCACTTAGTGCAACATGTTTTAGTCAGCTGCAGGGTGCTAAAGAGGTCCAGGGCCACGATCCATCACAATGGAACCCAGTCCCTGAAGACCCCTTTGGGAGTTATGCCCACTGTGACAGGGGAAGCATGGGCCCTTTTTTCAGGGACCAGCAGGGTAGACTGGTAAGACATTTGCCCTGTAATCTGATATTTGCAATTTATTTCACATACAAATAAATCTCTAGTGTTGCGATAAAGTAAAACAAAATAAAATACAAAATATGTACAAATAATACATAAAACAATAGTGAACAGTGAATAAATTACTCAATAGTGAACCAATGCCAAAAGTTAAGGTTCAGAAATGATTGGCATGTGTGAAAATCCTTATGGGGTATATAGAACAATCCCCTTTTTTGTGAAAAATAGTCCAAACTCTTCATTCCAGTATAACCACCAGCGTGAACACTGCACCACCGTGATGACAAACTGGAGGCTTACCAGATCCTTTAGTGCAGTGCTATTAAAATGCAATAATAATAACTCATATATGATACAAAGATACGTAATCAGAAGCAAATGCCACACGTGCTCTTATAATCAACATGCAAATGGATGGGTGGTTTATAGTCCTGTAACAACTTCAGAACTAATAACGTAATCACTATACATGCGTGATAGCTAATACTAGTCCCTTCACATCACACTCAGCAGGCTTGATTGGTGAATGTCAATAGTGACCAAAGTGAAGCACTAAATTCCTTATTGAACAGTTCATACATAAACAATCGTGCTCCACTAGATATGAATACATGCAGGTGGCAATAACGCATGTGAAAATCCAGTGATGGTGTCAATACACTCCTCCTGTGGCTAGATTGCCACCTCACCTTAATTCTGCGACTCAATGGGCCCTCACGCCTTTAAGATCATGTCAAGGTCCTACCTTTCCTCAGACCATGTGCTGGCATCCATGTTAGGTGTCTGCAAAGCATTGTGGAATCCTTTATGCTTTCAGCCCTCTGCGGCTCCTCCCCCAGGAGGTGGCGGCTTATCACATATAAGTCTGCTGTTTGTGGCTGTCCATTGCATTCGTGTCCTGTCTGTTGCACAACAGCAAGCTCCTGTTTAGCTACTCATTGCTTTCCTGGATACCGACTTGGCTTTGGCTAAGACGCCTCCTGGCTTCTGACCCCGGCTCTGGCGACCATTCTTCCTGGCTTCTGACCCCGGCTCTGGCGACCATTCTTCCTGGCTCCTGATCCCGGCTCTGGCGACCATTCTTCCTGGCTCTTGACCCCGGCTTTGGCTACGATTTCCGCTGTTGGACTTGCATAGACTCTTATTTTTTATATTAATAAACCTACCTTTAATTGCACCTCCTTGTGGGTCTGGCTCCTCGCTCCCTGACAGATCATTAAGGAATCTTTCTCCCAGGATAGGTATCCTTGCTTTCAACTAGGTAGGTCACTCATCATAAGCCATGATGAGTGAGTAAAAAAAAACTTCCATAGTGTAGTAATTCTTGTAAAAGTTGAGTAATTTATTCGAATAAATAATGCTCACTCACATTAGATGGTACTTCACATCAATGGAACAAAAACCGCATGCCTGGATATACTGCATGGGCTCTGGCTTGTCTAGGTGTAGAAAGATGGCGGCCGCTATGAACTCAGTAGGATGGGGTCTCAGACAGTACACCAATATATCCTGAATGCAGAGAAAATATCTACTGGAATTTCTAGAATTCTGTCTTAACCACAACTATTTTTGGCATTCTAGCAAATATAAGCAGATCAAAGGGGTCAAGATTTGCTCCCAGTGTAGCCAACTCTTTTATGGCCTATTGGGAAGAGGAGTCAGTATACCGGAATTATCCTAAGGAACTGAGGATATACAAAAGAGTAATTGATGATGTCTTAATTGTATGGAAAGGGAATCTCGACACTCTTCTTACGTTCTTGAACAAGTTGAATATTAATAATAAAAATATTAAATTCACCTGGGAGTACAACAATAAAGAGATACATTTTTTGGAATTCAATATTAGAAATATTGATGGAAAATTTGGTACTAAAAATTTTTTTAAGAAGTTGATAGAAATGGCTATATACCGCTAGGAAGCTGTCACCATCCTATTTGGCTCCACAATATCCCAAAGGGGCAGCTTGTTAGAATCAGGCGAGTGTAGCTCGGGGTTACCGCTTGTGGTACTGAAACTTTACCCCGAGCTACACTCGGGAATACCGCCAGGGAGGCTACCTGACCAGATCAATATCCCAGGAGTTTAATTGACTTGATGCTGCACTGCTCAAAAAAATGAAAAACACATTTTTACTCAGATTGTAAAGATACCAGAGTAGCTGTGCACATGTACTGTCTGTCAGCAGATCCTGGGATATGAAGACAAACTTGTGTTGCTTGAGAACGCTGGATATGGCCTCCTCTCCACACAGGCCCTGAAATGTCACCTGGTTCAGGAACCACTTACCCAGGTCCAATATTTCACACCTGGGCTGTAAATGGTGGAGAGGGCTGGATAATGACTGTAATGATTATAATGATAATGATAACGACTAAATCAAGATGAGCTCAGTTAGCTGCTTTTGGCCTATCTGAACCCTATCCCAATTTCCCTCAAAAAACATGTTTTATAGTTTAAAATCATAGAGCCAATGGCCCTTGACCATGTGCATGAAAATCTTAGAGGAGGGAACTTCAACAATCAAATCTTATGATTGGAGACCAGGTGAATCTATTGCCTGTCGGTGATTGACCCCTTGACCTTAATGATGTTATAAGCTTTAAACCCTACAAGACAACAAAAATGTCTACCCTAGGTTTTTTTTTTTTTTGTCTTGCAGTACCAAATAAGGGATGTAGCAGCATGACATTCACAATACCATCACCCCCTAATGTGTAATTAAGCTTTAAGCCCTTTCTATGAATGAGGCTTTGGTGCTGGTAAAACCAATGTGTTTTCTAGTCTGTTAGCCCTGGGTCACACTATTGCTGGTTGCGTGTGGGAGAATCGCATCTGTTCCCGCCTCAGCAGCTGAATTGCACTGCTCTTACGAGACGCATTGAGCTGCCATTAATTCAGAATAGCACTCCCATGTATATCGGCCCGCAGTGTGATTGCAGGTGCGGGAACCTCATGGTCAAAAAAGACCATGGGGTTTCCCTGCGGACATGTTTTCAAAAAAGTGCATGCACCTTTTTTGTGTGGAAATGTGAGCACAGCAGCCCATTCAAATGAATAGGCTGCCATGCCCAAGCAAATGTGGGTTGCATGGCCCTCATTAGTATGAACTGAGCTTTGTACAGTGCTCAGCATAAATGCGTTAACCCCATTTGAAAAGCAAGATTTTTATCAATCTCAATGAACACAAGAACAATTTCCAAAATTTTGACAAAACTGAGTTTTATAGAACATTTGTTTAGCTTATTACATGAAAGTAAGGTTAATAACACTGTTCAACAGGTAAAAAGTTTTGGGCATAAAATTAGCTAATCTTACATAATTTTGGGGTGCTGAAAACGAAAATGACCCTAAAAAATGTTGATTGGCTCTAGTTTCCATGATATATTCACCCATCTAATGACGTAAGCCATTCAAAATTATGATGCAACTTCAGCTGCATATTGCGCAATTGATACTGGTGACCAATAGAAAATTGCATGTATACTGAGATGATGCAATATTAGCCTTTAATTGCATCACTTCACTGCATAAAAGCTGCAGTATCTGTAGCTGATTGTAGTTCGACAGCGTCTTTACATTTCGTTTTATGCTTATATAGGCTACTCAGTAATGCCTCGAACTTGTGTGAATAAAGCAGATCATTTCTGCTATATCTGCGGTGAAATAACTTTTATCTCACAAAAAAGGAGGATAACAGGAATGATTAAGAAAGCCTACAACTTGTATTTTGGCTGCAAGATAGGAGACCAGGACAAGAGCTGGGCACCACATATATGCTGCAATTCTTGTGGGACGGCACTGGAGCAATGGTTGAATGGAAAAAAGGCATCTATGCCTTTCGCTGTGCCAATGATTTGGAGAGAGCCAACAGATCATGTTAGTAATTGTTACTTTTGTATGGTGCCTCCAATTGTAAAAGGGCTAAATAAGAAGAAAAAGTTATCTGTGCACTATCCAAATATTCCATCGGCAATACGTCCAGTTCCTCATGGAGAGGGGCTACCAATTCCTAAAGCACCAGAATCCTTCGTGGTTGAGTCAAGTGAGGAAGAACCTGAAGCGTGTAGTCACGTGCAGTTGTAAGAGATAGCCCTTTCCTCGAATACAAGAGAAAAGCCAAGAGAAGCAAAACCGACACAAACTGAAGACAAAACTAGTGAGAATCCTAAGTATTAAAATGATTCAACTTGGCTTATGGCTATAATTTTTCTTGGTAATCCTATGCAATATATTATGCCATTTAGGCTTTGTTATGTAGTCAATATCACTTGCTTTATATTTGTGGAAAGACATCTATCTATATAATTATTGTGCATTATGTAGTCATTACGCCTATAGTAGAAAACTTTCCGTTTACAGAAAAACTAGAGCCAATTGACAAATTTCATTGTTATATTTGAACTCAGAATGTGAAATTCATTAAGAAATGGATCCTTTTGTTTCCAAAACTGGCAAAAAATAAAAATTTGTTGAACAGTGTAATATAACAGAGTACAAAAACTTCAGTTTTACTTAAATAACACCCCACAACAATAACTATTTCATCCAGTATTTTGTATGACCTCCATGTTTTCTAAAGGACAGCACCAAGTCTTCTATGTATGGAATAAACACGTTGGTGACATATTGCAACATTTATCTTTTTCCATTCTTCAAGAACGATCTCTTTTAGAGCCTGGATGGAGAGTGATGCTCAACCTGTCTCTTCAGAATTCCCCATAGGGTTCAGATCAGGAGACCTACTTGGCCACTGAATCTCTTACACCCTGTTGTTCTTCAGAAATGCAACAGTGGCTTTAGATGTGTGTTTTGGATCATTGTCATGTTGGAAAAGTGCATGCCGACCAAGGGCACGGAGTCTTCTCTTGCAATATAGAGCAGTACATCAGTAAATGTGTGATACCATCAATGAAATGCAGGTCCCCAACACCAGCAGCACTCATGCAGCCACACAGGACACTGCCACCACCATCTTTGACTGTAAGCACCATGCATTTTTCTTTGTACTCCTCACCTTTGCGACATGATACAGTTTTGAAGCCATCAGTTCCAAAAACATTTATCCTGGCCTCATCAGTCCCAGTAGCCTTCTTTTTCAGCATAGGCCCTGGCAAATTCTAGGCAGGCTTATTTCTGCATGGGCTTTAGGAGAGGCTTCTTTCATGGACAACACCCATGCATGTCATTCCTCTGCAATGTACACCATTTTGTGTCACAGGAAACAATCACCCCAGTTTTCTTCTTTAGCTAACTGCAGTGAACTTTAATGGAGATTTTCTTCAACCTTTCTCATCAGAAAGCGCTCCCGTCGAGGTGTTAACTTGCGTGGCCAGTCTGGACATCTCTGTGAGATGGTTGCAGTTCCATGTTTGTTAACTTTTTGAATCATTTTTTCTACAATATTCTGACTGATAAGTAAAGCTTTGCTGATCTGCTTGTAGCCTTCACCTTTCTTGAGTAAAGAAATTTATTTTCCCTTTCTCAGGCCTTGTCTTTGTTAAGTAACACCCTTTTATAATCGTCTCCTGCACAACTGTTTAATGAATAATTAGACTCACCTGTAGTTGAGTTCTTGTTAATTAGCATTTTGTCTAAAATTTAGCATTGCTCCTAAGAATTTCATTGGGGTGTATTCATTTTTGCAACATGGTTTTGAATTAACTTTTCAGGAAAAATACTTTTTTGTGATCAATGGCCCACATTTGTGACAGTATTTTGTAGTATTGTGTCCCATGGAAAATGTTGATTCTGAAAGGAAAGTAAAGGTTTTCTGACAAATCTCTTGGGGTGTACTCAGTTATGCTGAGCACTGTATGTAATTGAACTAGGGTGTGGCACCTTGATTACCGCTCTGAATCGACAGATTTAATTAAAGTTTAATGGGGGAAAAAAAAAAAAAAAAAAAGACCAAATAATGAATTATATGCACACATTAAACTTCAACTTTAACATACCCTTTTCGTTTCCACATTGGGTCCTTTTATTTTTAGAATCTAAGCCAACAAGTAACCATCTCCAGTATGTTTGATGTTATATCTTACAACAAATGTACAAAAAAAAGCAAAATAGAAAAAAAAAAATAAAATAGAACCACAACTTCAGTCCTCATCCGATTCACTGTCTTTCTTAGTGGCAAAGGCACTCCTAATAGAAGTCATGAGCTGATCCTGAATTTGTTGTCGGGGATTTTCCTCAAGGTCTGTCTTGATAGCACCAGATTCAGAAAGTTTCCATTCCAATTCTGTGGAATTGGAAGTCACGCCATTAGTATCCCCATATTTAGAACTTTAAATATACAAGTACTGATTTAACACTACAGAAACAAAGGGGTTTATTTACTAAAGCTGGAGAGTCCAAAATCAGACTCACTTCTGCATAGAAACCAATCAGCTTCCAGGTTTCATTGCCAAAGCTTCATTGAACAAGCTGAGGTTAGAAGCTGATTGGTTTCTATGCAGAAGGGAGTCTGATTTTGGACTCTCCAGCTTTAGTAAATAAACCCCAAAGTGTCTGGTAAAACAAAACAATATGCAGTATATATACACATTTCCCCATGTTTTCTTTCTATATGAAGTACAGAAAAATACCAGTAAACCTCCAAACAATACTGTGAGCTAACTTCCTGTTTGAGTTGACAACTGAAATACCAAATGGTTATCACTGCTGCCCAAGTTTTCCCCTTGCTGGACTACAGAGCACCTCCCCTTACATTATGGAGATTAGGAAAGAAGGCGTTCTTTCCTCCAGCAGAAAAGGGGCAAGACTGACAACAATGTTTTGGACTTCACTGCAGTGGTGGTACTGTGTTATCAGCTCAAACAGGAATTTAGGAGCACATTAGATTTCTGGAAGATCAACAGGTATATTTGCAACATTTTTAGAGGCATTTATAATGGAGAAATGTACTCCAGAGAATAATTTTTTTTTGGCCAGACATACACTTTAAGAATCTGTACTTCCAATGTACTACACACATTGTTTTAGTCCTTATATTTTTTTTTACTCAGGTGTTAAAGCATTGATTGCACACTCTTGATAGAACCTCAAACCTCAGTCTGTTCCTTACACCCTGGTCACATCGGGCGCAACTTGGCATGCGATTTGCAAATCGTATGCCAAGTTGCACCCTATTGTCCGCTTTTAGAACGGTCATGTCGGTGCAGTTCTGACTTGGTCGGAGCCGCACTGATTTCTAAAGTAATACATGCACAACTTTTGTTGCGATTTGCAGAGATATCTGTGTCAGATGTCTTGCAAATCGCAACTGAAATCGACAGGTCACCCGATTTTTAAATTGTGCGACTTCACTGTAATTTACATTTAAATCGGCTTAAAGTGGTTTTAAACTCTTACATATACACAGTGAAGTGACTGAACTCAGGTGATACACAGAGATGAAGCATATCCTCGTACATAAGTTGTAGCTGTTTACCTGTGGTCCTGTCTTCTCTACAGCCTTTCAAAAGTGCAGAATTTATGGAGCTTATCTGAGCTTTCAGAAAGCAAGGGGCGGAGAGCTGACGTTACCCTCTGCAGAGTTCAGTGAGAGGAGCTCTGAGAGCTGACTGGATTAAGAGGACACATCCCTACTCACACAAGAACAAAGCTAAGACTGTCAATCACAGGCTGGAGCTTCCCCACATCATCTTTTTTTCTCTAGGTGTCAGGGAAATTTCTCAGAAGTGACAAGTATAGAGGGATATCAGATATGCTTTGTTCATATTTCATACCAGAAGTTTACAACCACTGTAAGTGAATTTGGAAAATTGGCATCCCTACTAGCAGCATACAAATATACTCAAAGACATCCGAAGGTCAAATTTGTTCAGAAGCCAGCGAATCTGCTATAAATAATGTTTTGGCCACATGCGGAAAGACGCAATAACATTTTTGCACATATACCTGGAAAATGAGACTTGGGGGTGCATAAAAAAATTAGTTCACAGAAAGTGTTGTATTTTGACCATTTTTTTCTTTAAAGGCCATCGGCTATTTACTTACCATCCAGCGTGAGATTCATGCCACCAAACACTAAAGGTCCTATGAACTGAGCACGAATTTCACCACCTCGATAAACAAAGATGGTGGGTAGGTTCTTATCAGGATAGTTTGGTATACACGTCGTTGAAATGGATTTCAGAAACTTCACATCTTTAAACTTTCTTGCAAGTGTTGCTAGGTGCTGGTTTATTAAACTGCAAAGCGGGATTCTAAAAATAAAAACAGAGAAAAAAATGTTCGGTAGGAGAATTATCTAACCTTTGTAAAAGAGAAGAGCAAGAGCTGTCAAATGACAGATTAACCCAATCAATCAAAGAATGATGAGAATATAAAAGATTACTAGTACTCACACAGAGCTAAGTAAAAAAATAACCAACAATTTTTCACTGACATGCAAAATTCCCATAAAGTGCCTTAAAGTGTTTCTACAGTTGTGAAACAGCAGAAATGTTGAAACGTTTATAAAAATATTCGACAAAATACAACAAGAATCAACACTTAATAATACATACCCTTGTTTGTAAAGGTGCAAGATCACCCAAAGGTCTTTTCCTGCATTTGTTACTTCTTGCACATAGTCCTGCCCGGAAATCTCTATCACTTCCCCAAATTTATTATTTAATTGTGTTGCTTGCCACTGTGCCAGTCTCTGTTGTCTATAAAAGATAAAACACTGCTAGCAAAAGTAGAAATGTGTATGTTTTACAAATCTTAGTATAACAACTAAAAGGCACAACTGATTTGGATAGAGTGGAGATGGATTAGAACACTTGTCAGTTTTTATTGGTGTCTGTGTCCCCCTTAGGGAGATTCACCCTCTCTATTTGTTCTGTCTACTATTATTATTGAAAGTATAAGAAAATCCCAAATATTGAGTGTCCCCAGAAAAGTAATAGAGGGGAAATCTTCCAGTGGGGATACCAGTTCTGGTGACCTTGGGGTCCCCAAGAAATTCTCTTAAATTTGCAGGGATTTCCTCCCGCTTCCTTTTTGGCTATAGGACAGGAAGTGAAAGGAAATCTCCCCAATGGGACATAGATGGCGAAAAAAAAAAAATCTGACCTTCCCTTGCTCTATCCAAAATGAGAAAAAAAAAGTTTTGCCTATTGAGCAACTTTAAAATAGCGTCCACAAACGCATGAATTCTATTGGTTGTACAAGAACATTCTATATACAGTAGAACATGGGAGAGGCTATACATCGATATTAGCAACAGAGACAAAAAGTAAGAAAAAGGATCTCAACTGGATTACATACTAGGTATGACAACTGTTATAAACGTAATGAAATGAATTGATCATGTTAATATCTGAATTAGTGGTGTTGATATTCTGTTATACATTTTCAGAGTCATTGTTACTTCATATTTCCCTGATGGAGCGAGCCTTGACCCGTGAAACGTTTTGGGAGGAAGTAACAAGTCATCAATATTGCAACCTAATACATTCAAGTTAAAATATTTGAGGTTATGCAAGAGATAGCAGCTACACAATTTGTATTTGATGAGCAAATTTTGGTCTGTTTGTGATCTGTTTTAATCTAAAAGGTTTTAATTAGGGATGCGTGAATACCATTTTTTTTTTTTTTTACACGGAGTACAGATACTTTTTTTTTTTTTACTTGCCGATACCAGTTATCAATACCTGCCAGCAAGTGTTTTGCTTACACTTCAGCTGTCAGCAGGGGAACCCTGCTGACAGCTGAATGAGCGATCGGTTGTTAACCCCTTCACGCCTAAGGGTAAAACAAATCTAAATGCCTAAGCACAATTCTGCACCGTTGACATGTGATAGCAAAACCGTACATATCATCACAACTACTTTGCACATCCAGGTGGATTATACCTTGATTTTTTCAGGACAAATTGGGCTTTCATTTGGTGGTAAATGGTAATGGATATCTCCTGATTTTTTTTTTATTATCAAAGGAAAACTGGCCAAAAATAGTAAAAAAAATCCTTTTTTTTTTTATTTAGCTATGTGTTTCTTGTTATGACCATAACCTACCACCAAAGAGCAACCCAAAATAAATTCTCCAGCTCTTGACGATCGCAGTGATACCATATATGTGTATGTTATTTGTTGTTTGTACCCGTAGTACAGCCCAGAAACCATAGTGCGCATTTTGTTTTTGTCTTTTTTTTTTTTTTTTTTACCTAAAACACACTAACACTAACTGACACTGATACCAATTTTTTTTAAACCCTGACCTTTGACCTTGACCCTGACCTAAACACTAACCCTGGCACTGAACTAGATCAAACCTTGATCTAGGTATTTTTTCTTTTCTTTTTTTTAATATTTATATATATTTTTTTTTTTTTTTTTACAAACTTTTTTTTTTCTTCTCTCTGACAGGAGTTCGAGAGATACAATGTATCTCTCTTCTCCATTCATAGAGAGAGAGAGAAAAAAAAAAACAAGGGGGCGGGGCTGCACAGTGACTGATCACTGTGATAGCCAATCAGAGGCTATCACAGCGATCATGTGACCCGGGACTGGGAGCCCCGGGTCCCGATCGTTAGAACGGGACCCGGTGCTCTCAGTGACACCACGGTCTCGGTGCTGGGAGCACGCTGAGGGGCGCGCTCCCAACACAAAGACAGGTAAGCAAATATGCGGCCCCACGGAAAAAAGCCCAGGTCCGTGAGGCCGCATATTTGTGTTACGTCGGCGTCAAGGGGTTAAGGATGCAGTGGGCCTGTTCCTTAGCCACTTCCCATCCAGCCATTGTATATAAATGGAAGGACGATGGCAGTGCAGGGGCATTTGGCCATTTATAAACGGCCTCCCCGCCCCCTACTTATGCGTGCTCCCTGGGAGCGCGCAGCACCGCGATCCGGTGCCCGCTGTGTCCTCCGGACACAGTGGAACACCGATCGTCGCACGAGACCTCTGTGCGAGGTCCCGATCATGTGATCACTGATTGGCCAATCAGTGATCAAATGAGTAGTAAGCAAGATGTCATTTCTGACATCATTGTTTACTATGTGTGAAACCTGTGAATGATCACAGAGGTCACATGGTACAAGGCTATTCACAATAGCCTTGTACCATGTGACAAGCTGTGACCAATCACAGCTCCCACAGTATTTCTCAATGGCTGCAAGAATGCACCTAGAGAGAAGGAGAAATGATTGCTTTTACAGCCTTTATGGGTGTAAAAGCAATCAGTGTAGAAAGAAAAAAAATCTTCATAACCCACACAAGTAGTACAGTGTCACCATGGTGAAACTGTAGTGCAAGGGTGACTATGTAAAAAAAAAAAATATATAAAAAAAAAATAAAAATAAAAATTTGTTTTTAAAAATTATAATTTTTGGTTATAAGCTAATTTGGGTTGTTTGTTTTTACTAAAAAGATAACTGAATACATTTTGGCCAAGATTTATGAAGAAAGATTATTTATTTGCAAGCTTTTATAAGAAAAACACGTTTTTCAAAATGTTTGGACTTTTTCATTTATATAGCAAAAAAAATAACAATCCTAGTGGTGAATGAATACCACCAAAATAAAGCTTTTTCTGTCTCAAAAAAATGCTAAAAAATTCATATGGGTACAGTGTTGCATGATTGTCATTCAAAGTGTGATAGCGCTGAAAGCTGAAAATTGTCTGGACAGGAAGGGGGTAAAAGTGTCTGGACTTGAAGTGGTTAACCACTTCGGCCCTCACACTTGTTCACCCCTTTTGGACTAGAGCAATTTTTACATTTGTTCTATGGACCTGTTTATTCAGTGATAACTTTGTAATAAGACAACAACGTAATACATATATTGTTTTTTTTTAAAGGACAGACAAGGCTTTCTTTTTGTAAACATTGTCTTGCAACAATATTTTTTTCACAATCCTTAGACACTTAAATGTAACACAACTGAGCAATATTAGTTTAAAAAAAAAAAAAAAAAAGTTACTGCACATAAAACATGCACATTTTATTTTGGAATTTGTCTTGTTTAAAATTACACTAAAATTATGATTCTGGTACAAAGCATTGAATAGTTATTTGCAAATTAAGTACATTTTTTTTCAATTGTGCAACGTGTAAATATATGTGTAAAAAATGAACAAAGCAAACAAAAACAAAAGTACTTTTATGAAATAGAAATGCACAAAAAAAAAAAAAAAAATCAGCCGTAAAATAATAATAATTAAATGGAGGAGAATAAGGAGTTAATTAGGGCTGATTAGGTTAAATTAAGAGTTAAATAGGGGTTAAAAGGAGGAACTTTTTTTTTTTTTTAAACTTTTTAAGTTCATCCCTATGATCTGTAGATGAATAATCAGAACGATACAAAATGAAACAATGTTTCTTTTTACTTTTCTGTGACTCAGCAATGTTGTTGGCTGCTTTTTTTTTTTGATAGCTCCAATAGCCTGACTTGTTTACACTTCAGCTGACAACAAGGGAACCCCGCTGACAGCAGAATGCGTCATCCATTATTAGGGACACAGAGGCACCACTCTTAACCTGTAATTGCTAGCTTTTTTTTGTTTTTGCAGGGGTTTTTTTTTTTTTTTTTTTTTACATTTCAGCTATCAGTGGGGGGAATCCAGCCAACAGCTGAAAGAACCGAGCCTGATGGTATCGGTTTCAGCTATCGGAGCATTTGCACGAGTACCAATAATGCAAATACTTAGTATTGACAAAGATACCGATATCTGTGCAACCCTAGTTTTAATATTTGTATCAATTAAACTGGATATGTTTACATACATGGAATTGTGGTACCATTAAAGTCCTATAGTTTCTTTTTTTGTTCGGGTTGTTTTGATGTTCTTGGACAAGGATGTAGGTGCCATATTATATAGGTTTTATATTTCTAAGGGTTCCGTTATAAGAGTCCCTTCTCCCTGTACTTGTTTGTAGAAACACTGCAAACATTGGTCTTCTAACGTGCATTTTGACTTTGATTCACATAGGGCTAACCGACCTTTCTGTTATGGAAACAAAGCATTTAACATATCTACAAGACATCCAGGCACCGGATGACTTGGGAAGAGGATCTTGGTGGATCAGTGCAAGATTCCTTCAATGATGGGAAGAAGCCTTTATTAAAGTGTTACTAAACCCACAATGGTAAAATCAGTCTGTATATGCAATAAAGCATGCTTGTTATACTCACTGTGGAACCTAAAGGGTTAATCTTCTGCACTGTGTAAAAAGACCGTTTGTTCTTGTCTTCTTTGCTCCTCCCCTTTTTCAAGTGACCACCTCTTATCTCCTGATAAAACAGACTAAACCGTAGGCATTTGCACATGCTCAGCTTTTTTAGGAGAGTGCATATGATCAGCACAGGGCCAATCAGCACTGTCCAGACAGAGGTCAGGGGTTTTGCATCCTCCTAAAGCAGAAAGAAAACTCCTCCTACAAGCTTCAGCTAGTGCTGGGCTGGATACTGATAGATGCCACAAGACTGCTCTAACTTCTGATGAGAAAAGGTATTTAGCAGTTTATATTTACTAAAACAATTGCATTTCCATGTTTTGTGTACTGTGGAAAACCAGATATAGTGAATGATGGGTCTTGGGTTTAGTAACATTTTAACCATTTGGCACTTATCCACTTAAAATAACATCCTGCCTGACTACATATTAGTCTGGCAGTGTATTTTTGAATGTCCTCAATTTCCTCCAACCCCACCTCAAGATTTTCTTT